CACTCATGGTCTGTTGGTAACTATCCACTGAAGCAGAGTGCACACTCAAAAGCATAGTTAAGGAAAAATGTGGGTCAATGATACGTGGCACCTAGGTGGTAAGAAGCATCGAAGTGCCCATAGCACTTGACGATCAAGTGAACAAGCTAAGATGTCTGATGTGGATCATAACAAGTTACTCTTATAGGTATCTTAGTCAAATCTAACTAGCCAACCTTCTTAGTCACGTTGGACTAGCCTTAGTCAGATTGAACTACTTTAGTTAAGTCGGACTACCTTAGTGAGATAGGACTACCTTAGTCAGCATAGACTAGCCTTAGTTAGGTCAACAAAGTCAGATGAAGCCCAAATACCAAGTGAGCTCAACCATTCGTGGTTAGACAGAAGCCTATTAAGACATTACTTGACTCCTAAGTAAGGAAACTCTAATTCAAGTCAAATTAAGATACCTTGAGGATTAGACAACGTAAGCATGATCCTAGGATGATTAGTATCTTACCCTAGATTTTCTCCTAAATAGTCTCCCGATTTAATTAGAATCACTTTCTCTACAAGGACTTGCAAGATCTCTATAAATACCCTATCCTAGGTATTTATCTCACTAAGTCTTTTATAGGATCCTTAAGACATTATCTTCACCTTTTCCATAAGATTATAACAGACATATTCTCTCGATGCTTAATAGAGGCTCATCCTGCATATACACCTCCGTCTACGTGTAGATACATCCATGGAGAACTTATCTCCTTAACTTTCCGCCATAGGCTATTCGTCTAGGATGGTTCACGATATGCATACATCACACCATTCTTTCTTAGAACTACACACATAGCTTGATTCTCCTTCCGGAAGATATGTAGGCAGTCCTATTCAGATTCAACCATACCACATCAACCTTATTCTCTCCTCACCGGAGATCATGGGTCATTCTGACTGGATTTTGCCTCTATTCGTGGATGTGCACAAATTTGGTTCCAACAAAGATCAACTTCTAGTGATGAAAGCGGGCCACTAGGGCATCCAATAAGGACTTCGGGTCTTCGTCAGCTAAAAATTTGATGTGTAGGCCTTCGAATGAAAATGAGAGCCTTAGTTTTCTAGGACTCATTGGCAACATCATCTAAGATAGTTTTAGTTTTCTGGGACTCATTGGCAACATCATCTAAGATAGTGTCTGATAGCTTCCCCACCTTTAGGTGAATCTTGAGCCCATTTGAAGTAGTTGGTGGCAAAAATATCAAGAGTGGTGACATCCAACTTGTTCAAGTTTGACAAGAAAATTTTGGTAAATAAGAGCTTAAGGGTGTGAGCATTAGGCCAAGGATGTGAACATAGTGAGGACGGGTTAGTGGGTCCAATTGGGGTTAGATTTTTTTGCTTCTTGACTTAGAAAATTCGAAAGGCAAGTGATTTTTAAACTCAAAATAAATTAATTTAATTAATGTCGCTTGAATGATTGGAATATTATTCACATACTCGATTAGAATATGGAATTGAGCTTCTAATTGAAGAGAATTGGGCTTCTAATGGAAGTGAATCGAGCTTTCGACTGGAAATAAAAAAAATTGAGCATTTGACTAGAATCCGAGTTTTGTATTCGACTAGAATACGGGTTTTTTTATTTGATTGAGGTATGGGTTGGGCTTTTCGACTAGAAACCAAATTTGAGAATTCCACTAGAATGCACAGGTTCGTACTTCTGAACGTCTAGTTAAGCTTACTTCTGGAAGTCCACTAGTAACAAAGTTGCTATAGTTTTGCGGCAATGAAGATTGAGGCATCATTGGAGCCTTGATATGATATAGACATGTATCAAGAAAAGTTAAATTAGATTAAGGTTTTCATGCATCATGGTGATTTTTCTTACCATGAGGTTTCATAAATTCCAAAAAGAAAAATAAAACGATATATGATAAACGTAAAAATCATAAAACAATAAGAAAATATCATATTTAGGTACATGCTTCATGAGTGTTTAAACAATAGGAGTTTGGCATGAACGTGAGTAAAACGAAATACTTAAAATAGTAAAAATGACCATTATTTCAATGTTAGGCAGTAGGGAAGGGACTGCAGCACAGAGGGTTTTGCGGCAACAGAGCTTGTGCGGGAGAAGAGGGCTTCTGGCGTCGACTTCTTCTGTTGCAATTGATTGTTTGTGACGACCAGGAGAATTGTCTAATCTTTTTTTTCTGCTAATGGCTGCAAAGCAAAAGATTTTTAGGGTTTTGGGGATTATTTTATAGTGGATGATTCAGCTAAGAGTAAAAGTACTGATAACATGTTGTAAAGAAAAATAATTTGAGAGAGAATGAGGAACTCTTTTTAGAGAATTTGAAAGTGTGTTATAATATGGGTGCATTGATAAATTGTATTTTGTTGCAGGACATTTATGTTCATTCACTAATTGGTGTAAAATTTAAGCCATTCATTCCCCAATGCAATAAGCTGGCAAATTGATTCTCCATATTAAATTAAGGGTATTTGAGTAAATTAACAAGATAACCACACAATTTTTTTTAGGAATGGTACGATATTTATTGATGAAATTGAAAATGTACAAAACTTGGGAAGACGGCGATAATGGGCCTCAATAAAAACATTATCGGAGATTTCAACTCGAGTCGAAGAGATAAAAGAGCGTCTCGTACTAGCAACTTAAAAGTCAACTATTCCCAATAAATACAAATGTAGCTTAACCACACTAAGTGGAATTTTCTTCGAGCAAAGTATCCATTAAAATGTTAGGTGGTTCATCAAACCATGACACCTTAGATTGCTTTCCAATTCCTGGACGAGCGAGTCTATGAGCGACATTATTAGCCTCTCGACAAACAAGCTTCAACTTGAGTTTAGTGAATCCATGGATAAGACTTCGTACCATTAATAATTGGCCCCAATGCTGAGCAATCTTCCTCCTGCTTTTGCATTGCAACAAGTGTCACACTCGAGTTCCCTTCAAATGCCACATCTTTACCCTCTGGGTGTAGTTGCTTGACGAACAATACCGCCTTCCTTGCGTCCAGAAGCTCAGCTTTGTGACATTTGCGCTTGCTGCGGAAAAGGCAGCCACAGAAGCACTAACATCATTGCGCACAATCACTCATATTTCTCATCTGCTCGTCCGCTTATCCCACGTCCTATCAAAATTGCACTTAATCCAACCCGAGCTTGGCAAAGTCCATCTCTGCTTGAGGACTCCTTGCTTATGTTTCGTGGGCAAGTGCCACTGTTGGTAAGCCTGCAACCAACCCTCGGCACGCACCCCGACCTCTCTTCGTGCCACTGATCTTCCTTGCCATAAGACATTATTCCTTGTTTTCCATATATTCCATAATAAAACCAACACCATTTCGAACGTGTGTTTTGAAGACGTCTGTCCTAACTGAGAAATCCAATCCCGCAAGCTCAAGTTATATGAATTATTGACTCGCAGCCCCAAACTTGAAAACCAAATAGTCGCAGCCATAGAGCAGTCCCTCAGTATGTGTTCAATAGTTTCTGGTTGTCCTCCACAGAACAAACAATCATCTTGCTGAATTCATCTTTTTTTCACTAACTTTGTACGAGTTGGAAGAACATCCAAACATCCTCTCCATGCACCGATTTTCACCTTCCCTGGTACACAAGCATTCCATAATTTCTTCCATAGAAACCACACCATTTTTTAAAATGGTGCGGTATGAAAAATGGGTTGGTGGGGTCTATCTCTATTAGAGAGATAATACAAATGTGGTATGAAAAATGTGAGAAAATAGAATTACTCCGAAAAAGCTGAGGTTCCACCATAAAACCAATTGGCAATATGGGGAGTAGCCCAACCTCTTATAAACCTATGCAAGGTCCCTCTTTTGATCAATGTGAGATTCATTCTCAACACGCTCCCTCAAGTGTGGGAAATTTTCAAGTCAAACACAGGACAATACAACAGGGTGACGTGGAACACGTGTGGCCGTTTGGCTTCACAAGTGGGACAACCTACTCTGATACCATGAAGAAAGTTGAGGTTTCATCATAAAACCAATTGGCAATATGGGGAGTAGCCCAACCTCTGATAAGCATATGCAAGGTCCATCTTTTCTGATCAAAGTGGGATTCATTCTCAACACATCATAAAATTGCAGCAAATCCGGAAAAGAACGGTAATAAGAAAAGAGATTAGGGAAATTGAGGTATGGGTTTCATCACATCGACGGCAATTGTCAGAGGTAGCTTGGAAAGGATAACGAAGTTCAAAAATCGTTCAATGTGGGCTGGTTCGACGCCTCTTCACTTAGGGTTTTATATTTTATTTTGTAACAATTTAGGTGTAGCTTAGAATAGAGACTAGTTTGGGTTTTTTATGAACTAATGTTGGATGTAAAAAGATAAAGATAGATAAATCAAATAATTACATCGTAAACAAGTGACTTGTAACTCAGTCGGTTAACAGTATTTGACTTTTCACTGAAGTTCGGTGTTCGAATTCCTCTCATTAGATGAATTCATAATAGAGTATCCTATTGGTTGTCAAAAAAACAAAAAACAAAAAAAAAAACAAATAAATAAATTGTAGTGTAGATAATTCTCTATACGGGATATGAAATATAATTTTTTTTCACCAATAAACGAGTACAATGAGGCATGTAGTACCAATACCCCATTAAAAATGGTAAAGAGTTACACAATCAATTACATAACATTCATAGCAATAGAACCTTAATAGCCGACTTAAATAGAAATGTATTACCTTAAAAACCAACAAGATACAAGGTATATTACTATCAGTAACCTTCATGAAATGAATTTTTTTAATAAATTGCTTGATTAGAAGCAAACGCTATCTTAAAAAATATGTAACAGTTAAGTGTCAATGTCACAAGTCCAGAGAATATGAAAGAACCATAAATATTCATATGCATTATCATTATTTCTTGGCAAATCCTACTCCATTTCAGAAAAAGAAAAAGAAAAAAAAATACAAATGGGAAGCAAATTAAAAGATTCTTTCAAAAAATAAATATATCTAATCCCGTCTTAAATTTATTTCCTTCATTGCATAGGAGATGTTCCCAAAAGAAAAAAACAAGTAAGAAGAATGCTTTGTACGCAGCAGTTACACACACAACTGACGCATCCGATACTTCATTCGACAAAAAAGCCAAATGCTACTACCAAACCCTAATAAATCTTTTGCCCTTATTATTCCTAGCGAACTTAGCCATTGTTGTTGTCGTCACCGTCGACTTGCTTCCTCTCCTTGAGCATTGCATTGGCTTTTCTCCACCTGTGGTATTTACCAAACAGGACCTCCATATCTTCTAGGGTTCTTCCCTGGGTTTCGGGCAGCATCGTATAAAAGAACACCCAAGCGGCAGCAGAAATTCCTGCGTAAAGAAAGAAGGCCCCGCCAATCGTGATGGCCTTGTACAATGAAATAAATGTCATAGAGACGATCCCACTTGTCACCCTATTACAAGCCACACCGATACTTACTCCTTGAGCGCGTAGCTTCAAGGGGAATATCTCGGAGCTGTAGACCCACGTGATGGGCCCTAGTCCTATTGAGAAAAATGCCACATTGAAATATACCATGGCCATGCACAATCCGACGGCCCAGGGGACTGAACCTTTGTGATGATCGACGATCGTAAGGCCAACACCGAGAAACAAGAGGGAAAAGATCATTCCGCCCACGCTGGTCAGTAGCAACGGACGCCGTCCGAACTTGTCTAGGAAAAATGTGGCGACCAAGATGAAAACGGTCTTGGTGCCTCCAACAGCAATGGTGGCGAGTAGTTTGTGATTGGCGGAGGTGATACCTGCCTTCTCAAAGATCCTCGGGCTGTACAGAACGACAGTGTCTATACCGGACGCTTGTTCTAAGATGTGGATACCGATGGCTGCGATTAAGATATGGCGAACGGCTGGGGTAGGATGAAGGATCAGTTCTTTCCATACGCCTTCACCGCGGCTGCGTTTGGTGACCTGAACGATGTCATCGTTTAAGTGTGGTGGGATTCCCGCGGCTTCTTTAATGTCGTCTAATCTGAGCTGACACTCCTCCTTGGACTCTGAAGTTCTTTGGAGGACTTTTCTGGCGTCTCCGAGTCGCCCTTGCATAACCAGCCACCGAGGAGACTCGGGCATGAATAGGACGCCGATGGTGAGAAAAATAGCTGGAACTCCGCCAACTCCGAGCATGAACCGCCAGCCCAAGTGAAGCGGGAGCTTGGCAAAGGCATAGTTGGCTATGTACCCCAGTAATATGCCAACATTGACAAACACCTACATATAAAGATTCAAGACAATTAAAATAAATTTTACGATCCAAAAAATTTATAAAATTCTTCACAACATTTTTGGTTTTTGAAAATTAATCTGCAGCAAATAAATAGAGCAAATCAATTTCAAGCCTCACAGGCAAATTCATGATTTTTTTTTTTTTTTTTGAACAAATTTAAGATATCTTCGAACATTTGAAAAATATTACTAAACAAAAAGCTACTCAGTCGTGGGTACAAGGAAACACCCATAAAGATAACTCAAAAACAAATAAAAATAATATATTTTCCTTTAGGTGTGACATCAAAATTGTCAAAAAATTTCTCATCCGCTGACAAAGTTACAAATTCAAATCAAACAAAGGCTATGGATTTGGCATCATATTCATCAGAAGTATGTTGTTTCACATGAATCTTATGACAATCGTGCATTGTATAAGAAGATAAATAACCATGTAAAAAAAAAAAAAAAAAAAAACCAACAATCGAAACAAACCTCTGGGAAAGATGTGAGGAAGCCACGGAATGACGCTGGAGAGATCTCGGCAGTGTAGACAGGAGCAATCATCATACCATAGCCAACACCGACTCCGGCAACAAACCGACCAACCATGAGGAAGGCGTAGTTGGTAGCGAATCCCATGAGGAGAGCTCCAACCAAGAAGATGACCCCAGCGAGGACAATGGTATACTTGCGGCCAATCCAGTCGGAGGTTCTCCCGGCCAAGGCGGAACCGAGGAGGGAGTAGATGTTTAGAGTACCGGCAAGCACTTCGACTTGAACGTCACTGATTTTAAGATTTTCTTTAATGAAGAGTGATGCCCCACTCATTACACCAATATCTGAAAATAAAATTAACAAACAATATAAAATCATAAGAGAATTGAATCAATGTAAATTTAAAAACATATATATCGAGACAAGTGTATGATAATTATTTTGGAGGAACAATATTTCGAAAAAGTTTATTTCCTAATTTTTTTTTTTTTTTCATGTTTCTGAAATTAATACGTTACGCTCTCCAAACATTGATCACTTTTAAGAAATTTGGGAAACTGATGAAACTGCAAGGGGAATTCCAATAAAAAAATGAAGAATTACCAAAACCCAATAAGATTGAAGTTGTGCAAGCCAAGAGAGCACAGGCAATAGCAAACTTGCTAGTCTTGGGCTTCTTTGGATGATCAAAATCTTCAATGCTCGTGTTCTGTGGTCCACCGGTGACGGCGTTTTCTTCCGCTGTCCGGGCAGCCATCTCGATCATGAGTGCAAGCTAGTGAGAAATAGAGAGAGATGAAGATAGAGCTCAGTCCCAAAGAGAGGAAGAGAGATAAATAGGTAGAGATGTCTATTGGAATTTGGAACCATGCAGTGTATGTAGAAAACAATTAGATCTTAGAAATTCGTGTTAATTGCTACTTATATTTATAATGGATGGATTGTACCCATTGGCCCATGGCAGGTAATGGTTTTTGGTCAGAATTTATCCGTTTCCATTACAGATACCAATAGAGGATTAGGTTAGGATTTATCCAAATTAATCAGATTTGGTTTTGGACTCATGAGTGGTAGGTTTGAATTGGATTACCCAATCAGTTGATGACTCTCAAAACATCAAATTTTACATGGTAAGAAGAATCCTGGTGATATTTAATTTCTACAACCAACTCAACACGTGTCTATTGTCATTAATGCAAAATTTAAACTTCCCATTACGGGTAATTAATATCAAATATGAATAAATTCATCAACCGTTCATTTTGACTTTTGAGGATATCCAATGAATTCCATTCTAAATTAATTCCCTTCATGTTGACCAGTATTCTCTGAAACCTCTGCTCAAATGCATATTATTATTTTATCTTGAATTTTGTTTTGAGAAATTTTATTTAAACTCATCTAACTTATTTATACACCCAACTTACTCTTTGCATTCATTTAATTTTTAACTAAACTATTAATATTTCTTTAAACCCAAATATAATACCTAATATACCCCCACAAACCCAATTCAATATATGGATTTATTTTTACACCCATTGGATTTTTAACTCAGAAGCTGCTGTTGTGCCACAACTTAATTAGACAGATCCTATTAATATGCACAAGAAGTATGCTCATACATTTGTTTTATCACATATAACAAAAAGTAATGTCGTTTTACGGGGTCTGAATAGGCGCATCATGACCTATATAGACATTCAAAAACCAAGGTTAGCAAGTAGTAGTTTTTGCATAATCAAAGCTCTCTCATTTTTAGCTGCCTGTTTTTTCATTCCTATGTTCATGTCCATTACATCTCCACAAAATAGGGTTAGCAAGTAGTAGTTTTTGCATAATCAAAGCTGTTTATAAATAGGGGTATGATATCCACACACCCTTTTTTACTTCTCCCACACCTTTTTAGCTTTCAGTTGTCGGATCGAATGAATTGAAGAAGATCAACATACATAAATTAACAAGGGGTGTGTGAGAAGTAAAAAATGGTGTGTGGATAGCACACCCCTATAAATAATGTCGTTGGGCGTGTTTGTAATGGTAATTCCCCAAGTAAAAGGGCAATTATGCCCTGTTAGGAAAACTACTATGATATTTGGTCGCAATGAAAATCAAATGAGATGTTATTTGCAAGAATGAAGGTAGGATAAACAAAGAGTAATCGTAGGGTTTAATTATAGTATTTGGGTTTATTGATAAATTTGAGTTTTATTATTAATTTTATTTTGTAATTACTAGTAATTATGCAATAGGATAAATAGACAATTAACATTTAAAATTTAAGTTAGGTGTAAAAAGAAGTTAAATGAGTTTACATAAAATTTCCCTTTTGTTTTTGCTCCACTCACTGTGGAAAGTGTACAAATCACGTGTGGACGTAGACTCAAGTTTGAATCGTGCTTTCCGGCATATATGTGGTATTAGAATACCGCTTCAATAAGAAACCCCCGCCCTCTCTTTTAGTTATCATGATACGTTAAATAAGTAATGTTACATTTACAATCATTTTTACTATTTTTCTTATAGAAGATTCATGGACGCATATGAGTTCTATCTTTATTAGAGATATGTTATAAAAAATTAGTAAGAATAGCATTTGTATGTTAAATTTAAAATTCTCATGTTAACTGAGATTCCATTTACATACACTATAATGAGACATGTCAAACTTATAATGGTGAAGTTCATCAACAATTATACTCTTGCATCCCTCTAGTACCCAAATTCTTAAATATTAAAGAAAAAATAATAATCATTAGTGCGACGTGTTGGACCTACTATGCTTCGTTTGGGGTTGTATATTAATCCCTTATGAACGTCTCTAAGGTGCGCACACTTTGCGTGTGGATCTTGCGATTCAACAATTGTGAGCTGACAAGCTCACGGGTAGAACTGAATCTTTTTGAAGCGGTGTATTCATACTCTTTTTTTTTTTTTTTCACCGTGTCTGTTTTTATTGAAGAGAGAGATCAAGATAAGGGTTTAATTCGTGCGTGAGAGAGGCAGAAAGAGGTAGTCGGTGAAGGGTATAAGGAGTTAATTTGAGGTGGATCAAAGCTCAGTCATAGTAACCCGATAATACTATACCTTTAAATATTTCTTGTTCACTAGGTGTGTTTTTGTCAAAAAGAGAGGGAAGCTAAGGGTAGTGCGAGACCATGATTTTTTAAGACCGGAGTAAAGTTGATCTGTATACCGTTACCTTAGAAGTCTGGTTATGAACTCACCAGCTCTATGCAGAACAAGATAAAACGGAGCAGCGATGCCACCATTACCCTGTTTAGAGGCAATAAGCGAAGTCTGAGCAACTCCATTGGAATGACCATTGTTACGTAAGACACGTGATTTGATCCGGATATGGATATAATCAAATTCCTCATAAGTCTTGGAGTTCCTATTTTCTAAGAATTTGTGTGCACCGCATGTAATCACAACTCCTAAGAGCACTTCCACCAGGGCTGGGATAGGCCGACACATAGCCAAAAAAATGGCCCGACACCTAGGGAAGTCTCTCCAGCCCAAACTGGCCTCCAGGCCAGCCCAAAATTGACAGACCTTGGGACCGGCCCATTTGACGCTATGCTGATGCCAACGTGTTGTCAGAGGGCAATTCAAATTTTTTTTTGCACCAGGCGTGTGCAATACAGGCGCACGTGGACACGAGTGGCCGACAAGTTTGCAGACGGGGGCTCGCTGCGCAACGCACTCGAACCTCAACCGGGAAGGCCACGTGGCCCGACCTACGTTGTTGGATTTCAAACGGTAAAAAAAATTGAATTTCAGTTTTGATCTGGACCGTCCCATCACATATCAACGGTCCATGTTTTTCCCCTAACAATTAAAAAAAAAAAAGCCCAACGGTCAGAATTATGATCGTTGGCCACGTGGCACCTTATAGGTTGTCGGATTTGAATATTTTTCAAATCCAACGGTCCAGATTAATTAACTAAATTAAAATTTATGAAAAAAAATACATAAATTTTTTTTTCTATAAATACCTAACCCTCATCTTCCACCTTACACCACATTTCAATATTTTCTACACTTTCTACGTTTCAATATTTTCTACACTTTGAGAGAAAAAAATGACTTCGTGGAAGCTCATTGAAGATGTTACGTTGTGTGAATGTTGGTTTCACACAACTCATGACCTAATTACGAGTAATGAGATGGATAAGCAAGAAATGTGGAGTAAAATTACGAAAGTGTTTTGCGATGTACATGGAAGAGACGCCAGAAGTAGTCAAGGTCTTCAAGGTCATTGGAAAAAACTCAACGTATCCTTTACTTGTTGGAAAAACGCCATCTCTCATGCTTTTGGTAATCTGCGTAATGGGACAAGTTTAGCGGATCAAGTGACAATATTTTTATTTATTTATATGTATTCCACCCGCATCAATATTTTAATTTATTTATTTGTGTTACACCCACATTTTATAATATTGTCTTATCCCACATTTATGGACACTACAACCACAAGCTTTCTACAATGCGAAGAACCACAACAAATCATTCAACAAATGGGAATGTTGGGAAACTGTCAAAGATTGCCCCAGATACAAAATTGGGGCAATCGGTCTAGAAGTTGTCATGCACGGCATGGGTCTACATAATTCGCCAAAAGCAGAAACGGCTGAACAAGAAGGCGACACATTTGAAGACACGGAAGGGACGACTGAAGAAGTGTCGGAGACCCAACCAACTCGTCAGTCCCTCAGGCCTCAAGGTAAAAAGGCATCAAAGAAAAAAGGTAGTTCTTCCAAAAATGACTACACTAAATATATGGAGGAACTTGCTCGCCAAGGTGAACTGAACATGGTGTGGGAAGCGGCTAGAGATGAGGAAAAAGGTGCTGCTATGGCAGCAATATTAGCAACTACTGAGAAACGTGATGCGGCGGCTGAGAGACAAAGAGAAATAGTTAATCGAGAGAATGAGATGATTAGAGAAGCACTTAATCGAGAAAATGAGATGCTTAGAGAAGCAAATATTGTTCAAGCAGATCGTGACATTATGAACAAGTCTCTATTAGGACTGTCTCCGAATTGGACATCGGAAAAAAGAGATGTCGTGTGAAGGAGGCATGCAATAGATGCGGAAACAAGTCGACAGGGTTATAGCTACACAAATCCTAGCAACGAAGATCCTAACACCACATATCCTAGCCCCAGAGGCTTTGTATAATTTTGTATTTATTTGTAGTACTTTATTTAACTTTCTTATGTAATTTTTACGTAATTTCGTCTTTATTTTTAGTACTTTATGTAATTTCTTATTTATTTTTATTTATAGATTTAATTTGTTATTTATTATTAGTACTTTATGTAATTTCTTATTTATTTTTAGAACTTTATGCAATTTCAAATTTATTTTTTGTACTTTATTTAAACACATAAAATAAGATTACATAACCTCACCAAATAAACTTATTAAAAAAAAAAAAAAAAAAAAACACACACACACACACACACCAAATAAAATTACATAAACTTAAAAAAATACATTTTATTCTTCAACCACAAGCTCATTTTAATTATCTTCACCTTACAATCCCCATTGGTGCTTAATCAAGTCATTCTGGCGAGTTACGTGCTGGTATGGCTTTTGCACTGAAGTGTACCGCTGAACGATCAATTCACTATAACGTCCATCCCGTTCCAACGGCTTATGTTGCACGGGATCTTCGGTCCGATCATGAGCACAGTAGATACGTGTTCTTGAGTTGTTCATCGGATTCGGCTCAGTATTCATCGATAGCATCATAATCATACTCATCTTCCACAATTATGTTGTGGAGAATAATACACGTCATCATGATGGATCGAAGAGCCTCGACATCAAACATTCTAGCTATAGACCTAACAATCGCCCAACGAGCTTGTAGGATACCAAAACAACGCTCAACGCTCCACATTCTTCCTACACCCTTCTTGACATTTTACGAAGTGTTTTTCTTTTTCACTATGTGGATGTGGCACT